GAATGCTTGGAGGAAGTCTACTGCAGTTAAATTGAATATGACTGAAAATGTGGACAATGTCTTAAGGAAGGATGGATTTGTTAATTTAGACTTAAACAAAGCCAGGAGCAATATTCAGAAGTTAGATAGAACATTGGTTGGCAGTCTTCTTGGCCGACGTCTCCCATTCTGGGTGGTGCAGAATGAGCTTAATAGAAAATGGGGACATATGGGGTTAACTCAGATCACGCCGATGGGTGCTGATTGTTTCTTATGTTGGTTTGTTAACATGGAAGCTAGAAATAGTGTTTTGATTGGTGGACCATGGTATGTTGCTGGTCAAATTATTGGACTAGAACAATGGAAAATTGGATTGTCGTCCAAATCCTAGAAAGGTTTTACGTCTCTTGTTTGGATAAGGTTACCAAATTTACCATTAGAGTACTGGGATGAATCCAATTTGGCTAGGCTGGCAATGGGCATTGGTGAACCTTTATTTATGGATGAGAAAACGAAGCTTTGGAACAGGTGTGCTTTTGCACGTATTTGTATCAGATTGGATTTGTCTAAGCGACTGCCTAAAGGCATTTGGGCTAATGGTTTGGAAGGTGCTTTCTTCCAACCCATTGAGTATGAAGGGATCCCCCTGATTTGTTTGAATTGTGGTAAGGTGGGACATAAGGCTGATTTATGTAAGGAGGTGCAGGCACGGCCTAAACAACAGGAGTTGAAAACTGGGGAAGTGAAGGATCAGTTCTGTTCTATTGCGGATGGATTGGGTGTGGCCGCTAATTCATCTGATGTTGGCCTGAGTTGTTCATTGGGATTGGAGGGTGCAGTTTCTAGGCTGAATTTTGGGAAAATTTATGAAGTTGTTGGCTCTACTTATGCTGATATTGATCATGGGGAATGGACAATTGTCACAAGGAGGAAGAGACCAAATATTAAAGCTGGTGCTAAAACTATCATGAGGGATAGTAAGCCGGCTGTTTTGGCACCTAAAACGGTATGGAGGGAAGTTAGTAAAACACAGAAGGAGGTTGATGTTCTTCATGAGAAGGAAAATGCTAAGAGTGTGGCTAAAGATTCTTCTACATCTGAAAATCAGCTGATGGATGTTACTCCTTCAGGCAATAAATTACCTTGTGATATGCTGGTTGATAGTAAATTGAATCCTGGCGGATTGAAATAGGAGGGCTCTAGTAGTATGGCACAAGCTCAAATTCAGGATGACAGATTCGATGGATTGCGAAATTTGATGGATATAGAGGTGGCTGCTATTAAAAGTGTACCTCAGGTTGGTGAGAAATTGAGGA